TTGTTAAGAAAAATATTTAAGAAAATAGTAGAACAAAAAAATGTGCAGTCGCTGGATTTATTATGCATGGTTTTTCTTTTACTCATTTTCCCACACGCTTGAAGATCCCCATGTCGTATATTTATTCTAGTCAACATTCAATAATCATCATCAACATATATTTATTGCACTTGTTTACAATTCATTTACGTTTATAATTGTAAAATTTTTAAAAAATTAACTTTGGAGCCAAAATTTGAAGTATTCCAAAAAAATTGGAGCCAAAATACAAACTCCATTTGGCTATATATTCAAGAGACGATAGATTCTAACACCAAGTTTTTACTTAGAACTTTTTCTCACAATTTTAATCTAAGCATACCAGTTATGAGTTCTGAGGGAGATAGAYAGCATTCTTTTGATCTAAATAAGACACCAACAAATTCTTCGGAAGATAAGTTAAGCAATCCAACCCATGGCGAAATGGAAATCRTTTCTCCAATTGTAACAGGTCAATTTTCAATTTTCATTTTAATAGATTGTTTTTAAAGTCTGTACATGTTTATCCCATAATTTACGTTTTTAAATGGAGTATTAAGAAATTTTTTCCTTTCTTTGTTTCTTCGGTAAGACGTAACCGAAGGACAAGATCGAAGAAACACTCCATTCCCTTCGTTTTCATCTCTCGTTACTATCATATCGTTACGTCTCCGCAACACTCTGTTTTTGCGTCGATAAAACAGAGCCGAACAGAGCTTGTGACCATCTTGCTCTGTTTCTTCGATCTTGTCCTTCGGTTACGTCTTACCGTCTCGGTTAGTTAGCTTCTGCTCCGCATAATTTTTATAGTCTGAGTATCACGTATGYCTTAAAGCAGTGTGGAGTTTTTTTTTATAGTCAAAGGTCTCATCATTATCGTTTGAATTTTGTCATACATTATTTCATATGGTAACTTATGAATTTTTGTACTAACAMGGAACTTGGAGACATCACAGAATCAAGAAGAAATCATCACCAAGAGGAAAGCAATGACAGATGGAGAAAGATCGGAAATTTACCGTGCTTTGTTAGAAATAAGTGTCAACGGAAAACTAGGGAAAGATACTACGAAAGAAGTTTCTGAGATATTCTCAGTGCCCTTGCAAACAGTACAAAGAATTTGGAAAAGAGCAAAGGATACTTCTAATGGTGGGGTTGTCGATGTATCACATAGGAAGAAGGGAGCTTGTGGTCGCAAAAAATTGCAGATTGACTTGGATCAAGTTGCTGAGGTTCCATTACATCGTCGGTCAACAATGAGGTCACTAGCAGCAGCTTTGGATATCAGCCCAACGTCAGTCTTCAATTGTGTGAAAAATGGTCTCGTGAGACGTCATTCCAATGCCATCAAACCACAACTAAGAGAAGATAATAAGAAAGCCCGGGTAAAATTCTGCTTCTCTATGCTTGATAAAAGTACTTTGCCTCATCAACCGAAGTTTGTTGATATGTACAATGTTGTACATATCGATGAGAAGTGGTTTTACATGACTAAAAAGARGGAAACATATTATTTACTTCCCGTAGAAGAAGATCCGTTGCGGACATGTCAAAGCAAAAATTATATTYGAAAAGTAATYTTTTTGGCTGCTATGGCTCGACCAAGGTTTGATGGAGAGGGAAATGAGATATTTTCTGGAAAAATTGGAATGTTTCCATTTGTAACCATGCWAGAAGCTCAGAGACGGAGTAGAAACAGAGATGCAYGAACTATGGAATTAAAACCGATGGTCTCCATCAAGAGAGAGGATATAAAAAAATGTTTGATTGAAAAGGTTCTTCCCAAAATCCGTGAGAAATGGCCGAGAGAAGACTTTGGGAAAACTATTTTTATTCAACAAGATAATGCTAGGACGCATGTTGATATCAAAGATGAAGAATTTAGAGAAGTTGCGTCACGACATGGGTTTGATATTCAGTTAATGTGTCAGCCGCCGAATTCACCAGATTTGAACATTTTGGATCTTGGCTTTTTTCGGGCTATTCAGACATTGCAACACAAAGTTTGTCCCAAAACGGTAGAAGAACTTGTTACCGCAGTGGAGAAAGCATTTGATGAATATCCTCCAAAACAAGTAAACCYGATTTTTTTGACTCTGCAATCATGTATGCTAGAGATCATGAAAATAGGAGGCTCCAACAGATACAAAATTCCACATTTGAAGAAAGARAGATTGGAAAGAGAAGGTCGTCTCCCTATCCAACTGACTTYCGATCCCATCATAATACAAGAGGTGATGAATTCGTTAGTTTTTTAGAATTTCTACGACTCTAGTTGCATTTTTATTAAGATATGATGTACTGAAAAAATTAACAGTACATTATTTGAGAATAATAATAGTCGTACTAGTACTTCAATAGTGTTCCACCACTTAACTTGAGAATCTTTTTGAATTACACATACAAAGATATCAAATCTTAAAATACGTAGGAAGCAAAATCCTGAGCATTTCTTCGATAGCTTCATTATATTCTGGATAGGGCGTTGCACCATCATCGAGAATCTTGTTCAAATCAAATTTATTTTTGACGTTTAGATTCTCCAAATCAGCTGATTGATCATTTCCGCCATATCTACTCCTTCCTTTGTCTCTGGAAGCTTGTTCAAATCAAAATCATGTATCTCCGGAAGCTTGTTTAGGTCGAAGTCATGTTTAACACCAACATGAAGATTTTGATTAGTTTCCATCATATATGCTTCCTTTTTAACCTTCTTCTCAAAAGAACTCATTTGTTAAAAGACAGAGAAAGCTTTTTACTYAAGAAAAATGGATGACAAAAAATATTTGGTTGCATATGGTCGTATAAAAYAAGYAGAATGTTTGACTTCACTTGGAACGAAGCATCAGTATGATCTTTAGTAATTTTCTGTTTTATTTATTTATTTAATAATATTAGTATTAATTAAATTTTAGAATTACCGATAGAAAATCTATTGAGGTTAGAAAAGGAAATTTTTAACCAAAAA